AGAGAAAAAGTAAATATGACTACATATAACTTAAAAGTTTTTGCACAACAAAGGAAATTATCAACAAAAGGTAAAGACAACCCACTGAATAAGAGAACTTATTTGTGTATATATCTGATAAGAGGTTAAAAATTTGTAAAGAACTTATAAAGCTCAATGCAAAATCTCAAAGAATCCAATTAAGAAATAAGCAAAAGACCAGAACAGACAATTCTTCAAAGAGGACAAACATGGCCATTAGACTTATGAAAAGATGTAACTCAATGTTACTAATTAGTAACTAAATTAGTAACTCAATGTTACTAATCATCAGAGAAATGCAAATTAAAACCCCAATGGAATATCATCTCACCCCTGTCAGAATGGCTATTATCAATAAATCAATAAATGACAAATTTTGGTTAAGATGTGGATAAAGGGGAACACTGATGCACTGTTGGAGGGAATATAGATTAATGCAGCCATTTTAAAAAGCAGTATGGAGTTAGCTCAAAAAATTAAAAATGGATCTGCTTTGTGACCCAAGATTCTACTTCCAAGAATTTATCTGAAGAAACCTGAAATTTGTAAAAATAAATTTTTATTGTTGAAAGTCTTATATACAGTATGTCTCATTTCTCCCCTATTGACACCATCTAGCCTGCCACTACCCCTCACCAACCTGTTGTCTGTGTCCATGGGTTATGCATATTGCATATATGCATACAAGATCTTCAGTTAATTACTCCCCCCCCCCCACCTATATTCTCCCTCCTTCCCTCCAAATTCTGCACTCTATTTTATGCTTCTATATCTCTGGATCCACTCCATTCATCAGTTTATTTTGTTAGATTTTACATATGAGTGAGATATGTGATACTTGTATTTTTCTGACTGACTTATTTTTACTTAACATGATACTGTGCAGGTCCCTCCATGCTATCTCAAAAAGTAAGAAATTCTTCTTTTTTACTGCTACATAGTTATTCATGATATAAATATACCAGGGCTTTTCTATCCACTCATTTATAGATGGGCATCTACTGATCTTAGCTGTTGTAAATTGTGCTACTATAAATATAAAGGTGCATACATTTTCTGAAACACTAATTTGAAAGAATATGTGCATCTCTCTTTTTATTGTAGCATTATTTACAATAGCCAAATTTGAAAGCAGCTCAAGTGCCCATTAGGAGATGAGTGGATAAAAAAACCCTGTGTCACATAATACAATATTACTCAGCCATAAAAAAGGAAAGAAATCTTATCTTTTGCAATTGCATGAATGTACCTGGAGAATATTATTGAAAGTAAAATAGTTCAATTAGAGAAAACAAATATAAGATTCCATTTAAAGGTGTATTCTAATGAACAAAATAAAATAACCAACAAAATAGAAATAGACTCGTAGCTGTTAGAAGAAAGGCAGTAGGGAAGCTGGGTAAAAAAGGTAAAGGAATTAAGCAAAATAAAATTTCATAGACAGAAAACAATATACTAGTCATTCCCAGAAGGAATGTGATTAGGGGGACCTGGAGATGGTAAATGGGGGATAAATGATGATGGAAAAAGACATAGAGACACAACGTGGGATAACGAATACAAAATACAGTATACAGAGGATGTATTTTAGATTGTATACCGACAACTTATATAATTTTATTAACTAACATAACCCCAATAAATTCTATAAAATTAAATTTTAAAAAAATGAATCTCGACAAATATTTAAATGTTTAGCACAGTATTGTTATCTATAAGCACAATGTTGTACAACGGATCTCTAGAACTTCTTCATCTTGCATAACAAACATATTTTTCCCTTTGAACAAGTTATTATGCTTCCCTCTCCCCAGCTCCCAGTAAGTTCTACTTTACTCTTAGCTTCTATGAGTATCATTTAGATGGAATCATACAATATTTGTCCTTCTTTGTCTGGCTTATTTACTTAGCATAATGTCTTCAAGTTTCATCTATCTTGTCACATATGGCAGGATTTTCCTCTTTTTCAAAGACTGAATAATATTCCACTATATACACTGAGTGGCCAGATTATTATGATCTCTGAACACATAATAATCTGGCCATTCAGTGTATATCCTATATAATAAAAGGCTAGTATGCAAATTGTCCCCAGCAGGCAGGCCAGCCAACCGCCCATATCCCCTTGCTCTGGCCAGGCTGGCCAGACCCCACCAATGCATTAATTCATGCACCAGGCCTCTAATATACACTGAGTGGCTAGATTGTAATCTGGCCACTCAGTGTATATAGACCACATTTGCTTTATCAAGTCATCTGTTGATTGACACTTAGGTTGCTTCACTTCTTGGCTATTGTGAATAAGGCTGCAATGAACATGGAAGTGAAGAAAGCTATTCAAGGTCCTGATTTCAACTCCTGTGGATATATTCCCAGAAGTGGGATATCTGGGTAATAAGGTAGATGTATCTTTTTTTTGTGTGGAATTCTCATATTGATTATAACAGTGGCTACACTATTTTACATTCTTATCACTAGTGTACAAAAGTCCCAGTATCTCTATATCTTTGTCACACTTGTTAGTTTCTGTCCCCCCAAAACTGAGCATAGAAAGAACTCAAAACGCTACTAAATAAGTACTATTATTTACTGCTCTTTATATATTCAGAAAAAGAGCATGAAAGATGAGATAGTCTATCTAAGGTCACATCATATGTAAGTAGTGCAGTTAGGATCTCAACCCTGTTAGTTTGGCCCCATTGTCATCCCTCTGAGCCATTATGCTAAGCTGCTTCTAGCATCATTGCCAGCACCTCACTCCATCACTCAGGGAAAAACATGGAGATGAAGACTGACACAAGAGCTTCTAAACCCTTTTCCTTGTACCTGCTCCCACAGAGTGTAAGAAAATTTTCATTAATTACTTCATGTAACACAGCAAGGATAAAAGCATGGAGACAAGGAAGAGCAGAACAATTCTTTGTTACCTAGTACAAAAGCACTCTTGACAGTTGGGGAAACAACCTAGAGAGGTTAAGAAACTAGTTTAAGATACAGGGCTTGGGGGTAGAGGCCCTGGAATCTTCTGAGTGACTGGGTGCAGGTGATAGCTGAAGGAGAGGACTAGGGGTCTGACTTCTAGAACTGGGTACAGAAGGATCCCAGTCTTTTGTTGTAATCAACTTTAGTGAGATACAGATACTACTGGGGTCAAGGGGTCCACTCTCCTTTGATAGTGACAGAATAGTTTCATTGGCCTTTGGCTTTAGAGAAAGAGTAATAAATGATCATAATGACTTTAACCCCGGAGATAAGGTTGAAAATTAATAGTCTAGGAGGGACATGACTCCTAGAAAGGACAAAAAATATGTATGTATACAAACCTGTGTTGTGCTGATCCATGGAGTGAAGGATCATTCAAGCTCTTCTTATGTTCTCTCTGGACAACAGCTACACCTGTCTCTGCTTCTCTGGTTAAAGTTACTCTTGTTGCCTCCACACTGAAACTCTAATGTGGTAAACAAAAATTAACATTGATGAGACAAGATATAGTGTCAAACTTCTTTCCTTAGTTGTTTCACATAGTGGCTTTGGTATTCAAAATATCACTTCTATGAATTCCCTTTTCTTTTCTGAGGATGGTAGAGCAAGAGTTAATGTGGGGGAGTGAGCACATTGGAATAGAGTCTCTGGGTTTAAATTATATCTAATTCAGCCACACTGAGACTCAGTTTTCTTCTTTATAAAAGTAAGACTAAGCCCAGCTGGTGTGGCTCCAGGGTTGAGTGTCTACCCATGAAGCAGGAGGTCACTGTAAGATTCCAGGTCAAGGCATATGCGTAGGTTGTGGGCTTGATCCCCAGTGGGGGAGGGAGGTGAGTAGTCAGCCAATCAGTGATTCTCATCATTGATGTTTCTATCCTTTTCTCTTTCTCCCTTCTTCTCTCTCAAATCAATTAAAACAACTTTTTTTAAAAGTGAGATTAAGAAGTGCCCACATTGAGTCATATTTAGGATGCTTATCTGCAGCTTCAGAATGGGCAGTGGAGAGGGCACCGCTTATACAAAAAAAGAAGAGTTCTAACAGTTTTAGCCACTCCATACATGTGATATTCTATTCTGTGTATGTATAAGAAAATAGATCTGATTCTGCAAATCAGATATCATTTATATCTTGTCTACTACCTTGCTCTTATTGCAGGTACTTGAAAATGAGAAGGGAAGGAAGAAGGCATTGTCTACACAATCTTACTCTCTTATCAGTATCTGGCCTGGTGGTTTCACATACATTTTACAGAGTCATGGCATGGCCTGTGGGGCCAAAGAGCAATCTGGCATTTGGTGGGGGGTAGCTCTGATGGCACACTGTCAGCCTTTGAAGTTTGAAGAGCCAGCTCCTTCACCCTTAACGCAGAGAAGAAGGGTTGGAGTTCATGATAGCTGACACCAAAAGATATTGCTTTGCGCACTGTCCACCTTACAAGTTCAACAATTTCTGGAGGAGACATACTGAAATGCACTCTGTTAGATCCTGTTGAACTGCCTGCATTAAGAGGTAATTGCATCATGGTGAAGTCTTCCATTTTCATTTGTCTTTGGGACATGTGTAAAGATTGGTGTGGAAACAGCTCCCCAGGTAAGGACTTGTGCTTCTCTCCTCCCCCACAAAAGTGACATCCTCTCCACTTAAGTGACACAAATCAAAATGCTCTCCATTTAAGTGACACAAATCAAAATGCTCATATTGTGTTATGTTCAGTAGCACCATATACCAAAGGCACATACATGTGGCTTCTCCTCTGTGAAAAGCAATCTGTTAGGCACTATGAAAAATTTCTTGCAGGTTTCTAATCTGAACTGATTAATGAATGAGGAGAGAGTTGGGCACTTTCTGGGTAAGTGAAGCATATATGTGAGAAACACTGCAAACATCACTATATTTAATCCTCCTGGTTATACGTGTTTTTTTTTTTTGTTTGTTTTTTGTTTAAAAGTTTAAAGGTCAATAAAGTGTTGGCAAAACCTGATGGTAGAACCATGGGACTCAGGGGGAGGTTCTTCATCTCACACTCTGCTGCCTGAAGATTCCACAGCATGCTACACAGGTTCTATTAAGAAATCAGCTCACCGTGTTGGGGAGGAAAGAGATCAAAGTACACTCTGCAAGATCATTATATCAGACAACATATTTCATCTTCTGGAATAATCTGCTGCTCCTTGTCTTTCTCTGAGGATCTCTGCAGAGATTGAATGAGAGAACAGCTTTGCAGGTGAGAACAAGGGAGAATAATTGCTCTGGGACCCCTCATCTCCTTTTGCTTTCCCTCTGTAGGGGAGTGATTCACAATGCTACAGTTGGGTGTGTATGAAAATTTCTGGTTGATTTATATTGAGAATTCTGCAGGGGAAAAGAAAGCATTTCCATTTGAGAAACCTGTAATTAGGAACCTAGGGTGTATAGGGAAGTACCCTAGTAGTGTAAGAAATTCTTGATTGACTAAAGTCAGGGTTTTGCTTTGGATTGGTAAATAAATGTGAGAAGAATTGAGAACTTGCCATTGGTAGTACAGAAAATGTAACAGCCTTTGAGAAGGAATATGCTGATTCAGATGACATTTATATAGCAGTTTGTAGACATACCATACAAGCATTGTCTTCTTTAATCTTTGGTAACATTCTAAAATAGATTTCCCCCCCTTGGATAAATAATGACCAGGAACATTAATTTCCTTCCTTAAAATTTCAAAAGAATAGTCTGGTGCAAGAACTAAAATGCAGATCAGATTAATTGCTAACTTAAAATCATAAGAAATAAATGTGATGTTAGTAATCTCAGCTGAACTGTAATTTTCTTAACTTTTTCATGTTCATTTTAAGACTCTCCCATTTGGCACCATAAATATCATAACTTTCATGTGAATGGGTCTTAGAGTAGTAAAGTTATTTCTTTGAAGAGAAACAAATTGTGTCAGGTACTTTCCAATCAGTTAATATTAATTCACAAAAGTTCATGGACATCAAAAGTAGAACAAGGGTGGACCTTAAATGAATGGTCATTAAAGTAGGTAGAAAAATGAATCTAGACAGCAGTGACTTTCTCCTGATATCTATAGGAGTTTGCAAATCCAAGTTTTAACACAATTGGAGCTTCACATGAATACTTTTTTCCATGGTTCCTAACCCGTATTTCCCAGGAATATGGCAACTAACACCACCCTCCCCTCCAGTTCTCCTATGAGAACCCTATAAACTTCCACTTAGAAGTAATAGCTCCCTCTTATGAAATCTCATAGAGTTTAGGAAAAACTCTTGATTTTCTTGTCCACTAGTTTTAGTCAGTATGCTTGATCCAATCATCTTGAAATCCCAGTTTGATGCAGTGAATCAAAACAGACAAATGCTGTTCATATTAAGTAGTAATATACACTATATACACCTCACCCTTAGGTTTAAGGATGGGATAAAAGCTTAAGAAGAGGTAAGGATTGGGGATACGCTAAGTTAATCAGTTTTTAATATAATTTAAATGTACAATTGAAAAAAAGCCGAGACCGGTTTGGCTCAATGGCTAGAGCGTCGGCTTGGGGACTGAAGGGTCCCGGGTTCGATTCCGGTCAAGGGCATGTACCTTGGTTGCAGGCATATCCCCAGTAGGGGGTGTGCAAGAGGCAGCTGATCGATGACTCTCTCTCATCGATGTTTCTAACTCTCTATCTCTCTCCCTTCCTTTCTGTACAAAATCAATAAAAATATATTTAAAAAAAAAAGAAAAAAAATTATTTCAGTTCCAGACATCAAAATGTCCCCCATAAAAAAGGCTGTATCAAAATGTCATAAAACCCACAGCACATATATGAAGTAATTCAGAGGCATTTTTTTTTTAGTTATGTACATGTTTTTTTTCCTTTATTAGATTATGAGTTATTTACAGGTAATTTATTCAAGTTTCTTCTAAGCTCACAGTTGCTCAGATTATTGATCAGAGTTGTGTATATCAGTCAGGGTTCAAAGAGAAGCAGAAGTAGATGTGTCCCAGGATTCAGCCTTCTGCACTTCTGTGTGGTAGTTCAGCAATTTCTGTAGGCTGTTTCTTCTCATATGATGCTGAAGACTAAACTACCAGAAGAGGTAGTAGGGAAAGAGAAAATAATTTAAAGTGGAAGAGAACAAGAACAAGCAAAACACACACTACAAGCTGGCCCCCACAGGAACCGAGACCTTGTTATTTCTTGCTGACTTTGACCTTGGGAGAATGGGTACTCTGCAAAAGCCAGGCTCCTTCATTAGGGAGCTAAACATCCTGGACTAGATGACAGTGAAGATGAAGGCAAACTCAGGGAACAGCGAAACCCTTGCCAGCCCAGCCACTGCCTCATGTCTCCAAGTCAGCTACAAAAAGTCTGTGGCTCCATCCTGCCTTCCAAGTCCCCCATAGGATTCCCATGAAATTCAAAGGGAATTCCAGGAAATATAGTCCAGCCAAGCTGAAGTATATCTTACAAAGCCACAATAGTGAAGTTCTCAATCAATAGAATGGTGATTACCAGAGGGAACTAGAGAGGTGCAGGTGGCGGAAGTAAATGAGGGATAAATGATGTTGAAAGGAGACTAGACTTTGGATGGTGAGAAGATGTGCAGATGTGCTATATAATTATACTGACCAATGTAACTCTAATAAATTCAATAAAAAGTCTCAATCAATATTTATTGAGAGAATGAATAAATAAACAGATTGATACTTATATTTCCAGGCTAGTCACAAGTCCATTTACTTAAAATGAAGCTATACCAAAGTATTGCTAAGTAGAAAACAACTCCACACTTAGGTAAGGAGAGAATTTATTTGAAAGGATTATTGCAAGTAGGAGAAAGGGGACTGTTATAATAATAGGGAGGGGACACTAATTCAACAGGGAGAACCCCAGACCATCTGAAAGTTCAAGCAGAAATGACTATTAGTTTGTAAAAATAAGTAAGCAAGATACATGGAGTATCTTTCTGCAAGGGATGGCCTTTTGCTGGACCCAGGCTGAATGTGGGTCAAAGATCAGTCCTGTATAGAGGAGAGAGGCTTAAAGTTTAGTTAAATTCACTAACACTTTGTTAGCACATCAGAACTTTGTCCTGGTAGATTGGTTTGCTAACCATTTATGAGGGAAGTGTAAACAGGTCTAGAGAGACTCCTGAAAGGACGCGAGGACTGCAAGAGAGGCAGGATGCACACAGTGCAGATAATGTTTTACCCTGAGTTCAGCCTCTTCTTGGTAGGGGTTATATGCTGACTCAGTTGAGGGGAAGGAGAGAAAATGAACTCAAGTTTGGTTTAAAGCAGTTTGTTCTGAAATGTTAGTGGGGATCCATAGTTAGCTAATCATTCATGAGACAAACACTGGGAATTTGGAGCATCAGCATCTGGCTTTATTAGAGGTAAACAGGGGGGACCACTATGTGCCTTAAGTCAGATGGTGGAAGGCTTGCTCCTTGCAGTGAGCCATTTCAGGAATGCAAAGTTGGTGAAGAAACTTTTTAACCACTCATGTTTTCCAGGATAACAGGACTTGGGTAAAGTTCAATATTGTCCATCTGCCAAAGAATTGCATATACTGAAATACACTTTGACCCCAGCCTTTTGGCCAGCTTTGAGAATTAGCTCTTCTTGCTTTCCTGATTTGAAAAGTATTGTTGAGGATTTATTGTATGTAAATTATATCTTAATTAAGCTGAACAACAGTAATAAAAATAGCCTAAAGAACTTTTAAAAATATATATATAATTATACATCTCATATTCCCTTAAGAACTTCTAAACAACAAAATACCAGAAGCAGGATTTTTTTCCCCCAGAACTTCCTACATTTATTTTTCCTTGAAGACTCTTAACACATGGTTCCTGTACCACACATTAGAAATTTCCCCACGTATATTTAAAAGCAAGCCCAAACAATCTGTCAGAGTTCTAATTAGGAGCCATTACAGCTTTGTTGTTGTTGTTTTTTTAATATATTTTATTGATTTTTTTTGCCCCCCTCCCTCCCATAGATACCCTCCCTCCCCAGAGTTTTATGTCTATTGGTTGTACTTATATGCATGTATACAAGTCCTTCAGTTGCTCTATTATCTCCCCCAGATCTCCCTCCCCTCCCCACTGTAAACTGACAGTCTGCTTATTGCTTTACTGTCTCTATATCTATCTTTTGGTTCATCAGTTTATAATGTTCTTTATTATCCATAAATGAGTGAGGTCATGTGGTGTTTCTCTTTCATTGACTGGCTTATTTCACTCAGCATGATGTTCTCCAATTCCATCCAGGTTGCTGCAAATGATGAGAATTCCTTCTTTTTTATGGTAGCATAGTATTCCATTGTATAGATGTACCACGGTTTTTGGATCCAATCATCTGCTGACGGGCACCTAGGCTGTTTCCAAATTCTGGCTATTGTAGATTGTGCTGCTATGAACATAAGAGTGCATATATCCTTTCTGATTTATGTTTCTAGTTTCTTGGGATATATTCTTAGAAGTGGGATTACTGGGTAAAATGGGAGTTCCATTTTCAGTTTTTTGATGAAACTCCACACTGTTCTCCACAGTGGTTGCACCAGTCTGCATTCCCACCAGCAGTGCACGAGGGTTCCTTTTTCTCTGCAACCTCGCCAACACTTGTCATTTGTTGATTTGTTGATGTTGGCCATTCTGACAGGTGTGAGATGGTACCGCATTGTTGTTTTGATTTGCATCTCTCGGATAATTAGTGACCTTGAGCATGTTTTCATGTGCCTTTTGGCCTTTCTTCTGTCTTTTTTTGAAAATATTCTATTTAGGTCCATTGCCCATTTCTTAATTGGATCATTCATCTTCCTTTTATTTAGTTGTATCAGCTGTCTATAGATGTTGAAGATTAAACCTTTATCAGTGGTATTATTTGCAAATATGTTCTCCCACACCGTGGGCTTTCTTGTTGTTTTTTTGATGGTTTCTTTTGCTGTAAAAAAGCTTTTACAATATTTTGATGTAGTCCCATTTGTTTATTTTCTCTTTAGCTTCCATTGCCCTAGGGGCAGTATCAGTGAAGAAGTTCTTTTGGCATACGTCTGAGATTTTGCTGCCTGTGGATGCTTCTAGTATTTTTATGGTTTCCCATCTGATGTTTAAGTCCTGTATCCATTTTGAGTTTATTTTTGTGTATGGTGTAAGTTGATGATCTAGTTTCATTCTTTTGCATGTGTCTGTCTAATTTTCCCAACACCATTTATTGAAGAAACTGTCTCGACTCCATTGTATATTCGTGCCTCCTTTGTCAAATATTAATTGAGCATAGTGATTTGGGTTGATATCTGGGTTCTCAATTCTATTCCATTGATCTATATGTCTATTCTTGTGCCAGTACCAGATTGTTTTGAGAACAGTGGCTTTGTAATATAGTTTGAAGTCTGGTATTGAGATCCCTCCTACTTTACTCTTCTTTCTCAGGATTGCTGTGGCTATTCGGGGTCTTTTATTGTTCCAAATGAACTTTTGGAGAGTTCTTTCTAGGTCAGTGAAATATGCCATTGGTATTTTAATGGGGAGTGCATTGAACCTATAGATTGCTTTAGGAAGTATGGACATTTTGATGATGTTGATTCTACCAATTCATGAACATGGTATGTTCTTCCATCTCTTTACATCTTCCTCTATCTCTTTTTTCAGTGTCATGTAGTTTTCCGCATATAGATCCTTTACTTCCTTAGTTAAATTTATTCCTAGGTATCTTCATTTTTTTGGTGTGATGGTAAATGGAATTCCTTTTTTAGTCCCTGTATCTGTAGTTTTCACTGTAGGTGTATAGAAATGCCATGGATTTCTTGGTGTTAATTTTGTATCCTGCTATCAATACATTGCCAAATTCATTTATTAAGTCAATTAGTTTTTTAATGGAGTCTTTTGGGTTTTTATGTACAATATCATGTCATCTGCAAATAAGGATAACTTTACTTCTTTTCCAATTTGGATGCCTTTTATTTCCTCCTCTTGTCTAATTGCAATAGCTAGTACTTCCAGTACTATGTCAAACAGGAGTGGCAAGAGTGGGCATCCCTGTCTTGTTCCTGTTCTTAGAGGGAATGGTTTTAGTTTTTGCCCATTGAGTATAATGTTGGCTGTGGGTTTATCATATATAGCTTTTATTATGTTGAGGTATGATCCTTGTACTCCCACCTTGTTAAGAGTTTTTATCAGGAAAGGGTGTTGAATTTTATCAAATGCTTTTTCTGCATCAATTGATATAACTATATGATTTTTATCTTTCAATTTGTTTATGTGATGTATCACGTTTATTGATTTGCGGATATTGTACCATCCTTGCATTCCTGGAATAAATCCTACTTGGTCATGGTGTATGATCTTTGTGATGTTCTTCTGGAGTTGATTTGCTAGAATTTTGTTGAGGATTTTGGCGTCTATGTTCATGAGGGATATTGGCCTGTAATTCTCTTTCTATTGAGTTATCTTTATCTGGTTTTGGTATTAGGATGATGCTGGCTTCATAGAAGGAGTTTGTAAGTGTTCCTTCCTCTTGGATTTTTTGGAATAGTCTGAGGAGGATAGATTTTAGTTCTTCCTTGAATGTTTGGTAAAACTCTCCTGTGAAGCCATCTGGCCCTGGGCTTTTGTTTGCTGGAAGCTTTTTGATGACTGTTTCAATTTCTTCCCAAGTCACTGGTCTATTGAGATTTTTAGATTCTTCCTGATTGAGTTTTGGAAGTTTGTATTTTTCTAGGAATATGTCCATTTCCTCCAGGTTGTTCAGTTTGTTGGAATAGAGTTGTTCATAGTATTTTGTAACAATCTGTTGTATTTCGGTGGGGTCCGTTGTTATTTCACCTCTTTCATTTCTGATTTTGTTTATTTGGGTCCTCTCTCTTTGTTTCTTGGTTAGCTTGACTAGAGGTTCATCTATCTTGTTTATTCTTTCAAAGAACCAGCTCTTGGTTTTGTTGATCTTATGTGTTGTTTCTTTGGTCTCTATGTTGTTTATCTGTGCTCTGATTTTTGTTATTTCCTTCCTTGTGCTTACACTGGGCTTTTCTTGTTGCTCTTTTTCTAACTCTTTGAGTTGTAGAGTTAGATCATCTGTTACCATTTTTTCTAGTTTTTTGCAATAGGCTTGTAAGGATATGAACTTCCCTCTCAAAACTGCTTTTGCTGTGTCCCATAGATTTTGGATTGTTGTGTTTTCATTGTCATTTGTTTCCAGGATGTTTTTAATTTCTTCCTTGATTTCTCTGGTAACCCAGTCCTTGTTTAATAGCATGCTGTTTAGTCTCCATGTGTTTGATTTCTTTGGATTACTTTTATTGTAGTTAATTTCCAGTTTTATGCCATTATGATCTGAGAAGATGCTTGATATGATTTCTATCTTCTTGAATTTGAAGAGACTTTGCCTATGTCCCAAGATGTGGTCTATCTTTGAAAATGTCCCATGTGCACTTGAGAAGAATGTATATTCTGTGGCTTTGGGGTGGAATGTTCTGAAGATGTCAATTAATTCCATCTGGTCTAGTGAGTCATTTAGGATTGATATTTTTTGCTGATTTTTTGTTTAGATGATTTGTCAAAGGGTGACAGTGGGGTATTAAAATCTCCTACTATGATTGCATTGCTATTAACCTCTCCCTTAATGTCCTCCAGCAGTTTTTTTTATGTATTTGGGTGCTCCTGTATTGGGTGCATATATATTTACCAGGGTTATTTCTTGTTGGATTGTTCCCTTTAGTATTATGAAGTGGCCTTCATTATCTCTTGTTATGTCCTTCACTCTGAGATCTAATTTGTCAGATATAAGTATTGCTACCCCAGCTTTCTTTTCATTTCCATTTGCCTGGAAAACCTTTTTCCATCCCTTCACCCTCAGACTGTGCGCATCTTTTTTCCTGAGGTGGGTTTCTTGTAGACAACAGATGTATGGGTCTTGTTTTCTTATCCAATCTGTTACCCTATGTCTTTTGATTGTAGCATTTAATCCATTTACATTTAAGGTTATTATTGATAGGTACTCATTTGATGCCATTTTTATTCTATACCTGTGTTCCTTCTTCACTCCCTATTTCTTTATTTTTACAGTAGACCCTTTAGCATTTCTTGCATTGCTGGTTTGGTGGAGATAAATTCCTTCAGTCTTTTTTTGTCTGTGAAGCTCCTGATTTCCCCTTCAATTCTGATTGATAGCCTTGCTGGGTACAGTATTCTTGGATTCAGACCCTGCCTTTGCATGACTTTGTATATTTCATCCCATTCCCTTCTGGCGTGATAAGTTTCTGTTTAGAAATCAGTTGCTAGTCTGATGGGGGTTCCTTTGTATGTAACTTTCTGTCTCTCTCTGGCTGCTTTTAATATTCTTACTTTGTCGTTGTTGTTTGCCAATTTAATTATAATGTGCCTTGGAGTCTGTCTTCTGGGATTCATTTTGCTTGGGACTCTGCGAGCATCTTGGATTTGTGTGGGTTTTTTCTTCTCTATCTCAGAAAAGTTTTCTGTCATTATTTCTTGAAATACTTTTTCCATGTCTACCTCAGTTTCCTTTCCTTCTGGAACCCCTATTATTTGAATATTATTTTGTTTTGTATTGTCCCAAAGCTCCCGTAGGCTCTCCTCCTGCTTTTTAATCTTTTTTTCTAGAAGCTGCTCTACTTGCGTATTTTTTTTCCATCTTGTCTTCTAGCCCCCTGATGCGGTCCTCTGCTTCATCTAGTCTACTCTTGATGCTTTCTATTGAATTCTTCATGGTAGCGATGTCATTTTTCATTTCTTCTTGGTTCTTCAATTCCTCTTGATTCTTCTTCAATTCCTCATGGTTCTTCTTCAATTCCTCATGGTTCTTCCTCATTTCTTCTTGGTTATTGTCAAATTTCTCTTCCATTCTTTTTAGCCATTCTATGATCATTATTCTGAATTCTTGCTCTGGTAGGCTGCTTGCCTCTGACTTGTTTACTTCCTTTTCTGGTGATGCCTGCTTTTCTTTCATGTGCGGGCTATTTTTTGGTCTCCCCATGGCCTCTCTTTTCAGGATGTCTGGTTATGTGGTGTTCCTTCTCCTGCGTTGATTTAAAGGTACAAAATACCACCCTACCAGGTACAACACAAGAGGCACTTAACAGGAATGTATTTACAATATTAATAACCTCTAGTAAAGGTGACCACTAGAGAAAGGCAAATTAGGAGATAGGAGAGAAGGAAGAAAGGTAAAAATAAAATAAAGAAAAATTAAATAAATAAATAAATAAATAAATAAATAAATAAATAAATAAAATAAAAAAGAGGGATAAAGAGATAAAAAAGAAGAAAGAAAAGTAATGAGAAAATGAAGTTGGAAAACAGGGGGGGGAAAGAAAAGAGAGGGAGAGAAAGAAAGAGAGAAAAGACACAAACTAAAAGAGAAATGGGAAACAAACTATATATATGTGAAGAAAATTGCCATAGGACAACCACTGAACCCAGCCAATGCCAGTAACAATACTTGGAGATTAATACAAACTACAATATCCACTATTATTAAGTAAGGCTATGATATACAGAAGTAAAAGAAACAAACAAAAACAGAGGATTTAAAAAAAATACAAAGCAACAATAACAACACAGGAATAAGCATAACAATTTCACTAACAAGCATAAAAGTTCACAATAATCAACCTTCACACAAACAATGAGAAAAGGATAGAGGGGAGAACAGTTTTGTTATTTTAACTGGTTAATATAGTGCAGAGAGTGGTATTTATACACTTGGATCAGGGGTTGGAACTTAGGTCTATAAGTATAGTGAGAGCTTTATCAGGAGGTATACAGAAAGAATAGAGGAAAAACTAAAGCCGGAAAGGGATAGGATAAACTGGAGACTAAAAGGGTAAAGTTTAGTAAGAGAGTGATGATGTAAAGGTCAAGTTGAGATAGGTTTGAATGATGCTCTAGTAGAGATTAAAATAGAATGAAGGTTACTCCCAATGTAAAATAAAGAAAAAATAAAATGGTACTGGAGAGGAAAAAAAACACACAAAAATTGCAAAATAGCAGTAGTAATAGTGATGATAGAGATTGAAAAATGTAATAATTAAAAAGGTAAAGTCAAGTAAGGAAAATAGAAAAAAATTTGTTTCTTAAGTAAAAGATGTAAAAAATGAAAATAAAATAAAGAATAGTAAAATTAGCATAAAAAATGTCCAGTAGTGGTCATTCACTTCCTCTGTTATTGTATTTGGCACTCCTGATTCTTGGATCAGAGAGTCTTGCAGTTCCCAGCATTCCACTGCACCTCAGTTTTGTAAGGTAATTCTTAATTTTAAGTAGGCTATATCTTAGTTATTTGTGTCCATTTATTTTTGATTAAAAGAAAAAAGAAAAAAAAAAGAAAAAAGAAAAAAGAAAAAAAGGCAGTTTGTAATTCAGCTCTTAGGTGTCAGTGTTTCCAGTTTGACCTCCCAGTCTTTTTGGTTGCTCTGGCCTTTCTCTATGGCTCTAGCTGGCAGAGTGCCAACTGGCTCCCAGACTCTCTCTTCTGGCTCCGATCCCTTGTTTCCAGAAAGGCAATTTCCCCCTGCAATTACCCCGGATATGCCCAACTGGGCAGTCCTTCCCTAGTATTCAGACACAAGGGGGTGAAGGGGATCAGACGCCAAGGTGTCCAGATGTTCTGCCCTTGGCGGGACAGCCGCGATTCTTAACAATCTGTCCCGTGTCCCCTGGCATTTTAAAAAAGTCCCGCTTCTGGGGAGGATTACTTCAAACCCAGCACTGGCTGTAGCCAGGCAGGATTCTGACTGCAGCCCAACAGGATTCTGGCTGCAGCCTTCTTTGGGCGCAGCCTGGTGCAGGAAGCCGCTTGGGCTCTCCAGGCTATAGTGGGGGTGAGGCCTCACGGGAGCTCCGCAGCTACTGTAGCTGCCTGCCCCGCAAACTCTGACCTTTCAGTGCGTGATTGAAGAACTCCCTTGAATCCACATGTTTGCGCTGATTGGGGCATCACAGCTGCTCAATGGACTCCTCCGCTGTGGGTTTCCCAGGCCTCAGAGAAGCTCCTCTTTTCCTGATAAGATGGCGTAGCCTTCCCTCCGAGCCAGCAGCTCCGGGAGAGCTGCCGCGACAGTGCTGGCCACTTGGTCAGGAAATCCTGTCCAGCGGACCCTTCCTTACCTTCCTTGAGAGTTCAGCTGCCCCTTAGCTGCCAATCAACATTCCCTGTGCGACTCAGAGGCTGCTTTTATCTGTTTTGGGACCGGAGTCAGAACAAGTCCGTCTATTCGGTCGCCATCTTGTCCCAGACCTCCCCAGAAGCAGGATTAAGTAATTTTAATTATTTTAGATGTCTCTAACACAGTGGTCGGCAAACTAATTAGTCATCAACAGAGCCAAATATCAACAGTACAATGATTGAAATTTCTTTTGAGAACCAAATTTTTTAAACTTAAACTTCTTCTAACACCACTTCTTCAAAATAGACTCCTCCAGGCTGTGGTATTTTGTGGAAGAGCCACACTCAAGGGGCCAAAGAGCTGCATGTGACTCAGGAGCTGCAATTTGCTGACCACTGCTCTAACACATAGTTGAGTTTGGAAAATGTTTCATTGCATCATTTATTTGTCTCCTATATAAGGGTTCTTTAATATTTTGGGGATCTAGAAGTAAGAAAAGATATGTGCTTTATTTAAGTTAAAGTGATAACAATAATAAAAATGCTGACACATATTGAGTACTACTCCAAGGCAGGCATACTGTAAGATTTAAGATTAAATGTCTCATTTATCACATGTCAGATTCTATGGGTTCTTCCCCATTTAAACTTCATCAGAAATTCTTGTGCAGAAAAAGTCACTCAAAAGACTTTTTGGATGATATGTGGTTAAATTTTGCTTCTACTAATGATAATAATAAACAGAATTCTGATTATAATCATTAGTTAAGTGCTTGCTATGTCCCAGACACTCTTCTAAGAAGCTTACATGTAGTGATTTATTTAACTGTTCAATTACTCTGTGGTGCAGGTACTATAGTCATTGTCAATTATAGAGGAGAAAACCAAGGCAGAGGAATTAAGTAATTTGTCCTATGTCATATAGCTTCTAACTGGCAAAGTAAGGTTTGTCATGAATGGAAGCTTAATCTCAAAGGATGCTCATTCATGCTTAGAGAATATATTTCTTAATCTCTGTGAATCCTTAATTACTGGAATGCTGGGTGATGTAAAATTCAAAATAATGTTTTCAGAAATATTTTTTTTAAGTTTAAAAACAGTACAAATAATTTCAGAAAGAGGCATCTGTGCTTTCTGCCAGACTTATTCTTCCTTAGAGTTGGTGAGGAGTTTAGTGAATAGGCACCAATGAAATGGCTGTGATAAAGGTTAGAACTGCCTATAGGGTCTGTTTTGTGTCTTAGTATGTCATCTAGCACTTCTCATTCCTTGATATTTCTTGATCCCCTCTTTAGGATAAGGTACCTGCCAAGATGTTCCAATTACAAGGCCCACAACTGCTGCAGATGCTAGAGAAATCCTTGAGGAAATGCCTCCCTGAGTCCCTAAAGGTGAGAGTGCAACCTCCTAGGAAAAAAAAGAATAGCTACTGCCTATGAAAAACGTGGGAAAGAGAATTAGCCCCTGTTCTGTGCCAGTCACTCACTCATCTTGCATCTCACATAGTTCACATCATCTTGTTGCCAGGCAGGTCTATTATATTCATGTAACCTAAGAGGATCTGGCAGTTATATGACTCGACCAAGATCACACAAGTGGTGAGTGGCAATGCTATGATATGAACCCACTATGGTCTTTGCTGTGTGATGATCCAAGATCATTCCCTGTGCCCTTCTAAGAGTAGTGTCAGAGAGCAATGGAAGTGTTTCCAGAATTTCAAAGTTGTCTGTAACTAATGCATTCATGTTTAAATTATTTTTTTCTAAACAATCAAGTAACTGATGAAAGCTTAACCAATTTGATTCTTCTTTGAAATTAATTACAGATCAATTTCTATTTTTTCATACCCAAATCTATTGTGTTTCACTTGAGATGACACAGATATTTAGATTTAGAAATGGAACAATGATCTTTTACCATAGAGAAGGTTTTTTTGGTTGTTTTTCTTTTATTTTTATTGCAATAATATATGTTGCAAAGGGACTAACATATTATCAGGGATAAATGCCATAGCATTATGATCAAGGTACCAATTCACCAAAAAGACCAAAAAAAATGCTAAAATATATACAGAGGCTTAGAGTACATGAAGTAAAAACTAATGGAACTAAAAGAAGAAACAGGTAAACCCACAGATATAATTTAAGACTTCAACACTCCTCTCTCAACAATTTAGAGAACAGACATAAAACCTATAAAGATATGGAAGATATGAACAATACTATGAGCCAACTTTAACTAACTGATATGGAATGTTTTCCTCAACAACAGTAAAATATATATTATTTTTAAATGCACATTGGACATTTGCCAAGATAAATGATATTTGAAAACGTTTTTTAAAAAATTGAAATAATTTAAAGTATATCCTTGAGCAACATGAAATTAAATTTAAAATTTAACAAAACCTGAAAAATACCTACACATTTAGAAATTATACAATACACTTATAAATAAATCATGCTTTAATGTCATACAAAAAATTAGAAAATACTTTATTGGAATGGAAATACACAATCTCTAAAGTTCTGGGATGCAACTAAAGCAAGAATAAGTGGGAAATATATAGCATTCTCTACTTGTACTATAAAAGGATAATGCTCTCAAATCCATGCTTTAAGTTTTCACCCTTAAAACTAGCAAAAATGAGTAAATTAACTCCAAAGCAAACAGAATTAAGAAAATTATAAAAGATAAGAGCTGAAACCAATGAATTTGAGAGGAGAAAAACAATTAAGAAAAACCAATGACTCTAAAATCTAGTTTTTTGAAAAGATTAATAGTCAAATTGACCAACAAATTTAAAGAAAGACAAATTTTCCATGACAGGAATTAAATAGGGGACATTACTACAAACCCAATGGCCATTATAAGGATAAACAAGGACATACTATTAGCAACATGAAATACATAATTTTCACAATTTATGTCCTGCGAAAAGCACAAATTACCAAAAGATTTTCCCAGGCTTTCTGACACCATATGTAGGGATCTTTTGTAGACTAAGTTACAGGCATTTAGTGCAAACCCAAATCACTGATCGTTCTGATTGACATAGGGTAGGGCAATTATGAAGAAGGCAGGGTGTAGAGTCATACTGTTGTGATTCCACAATTCACTGTTTCCTAGGAAACATTGCAAAAGTAAATATATATGAGTCTCCATGTTCTGGGATATAACATAAGTAAAACTAGAAAATCAATACTTTCTGGTAGATATTTCTGAACTTTACCAGGGTTACCAAATAAAATATGATAAAATTAATATACTTCAGAAACATTTACTAAGTATGAGGAATTACAGCAAGTACTTTACACAAACTCAAAGGTCTTACTTGAATCATACAGAGAAACATTGTGTCTCAATTAATTCCCAGGCTTGAACCAGATAACAGACCTAGAACCCCTTGAATGAAGGGAAGAATGGGTGCCCTTGAGGAAGAATCACCACACTGTCAAAAATATGATCATAGTGCCCTGGCTGGGTTGCTCAGTTGCCTGGAGCACTGTCTCATACACCAAAAGATTGCAGGATCAATTCCCTACCAGGGCACATACAGGTTGCAGGTTCAATCCCCGTTCTGGGTGTGCACAGGAGGCAACCTATCAATGTTGCCTTTCACATCCATGTTTCTCTCTACCTTCCTCTCTCTATAAAATTAATAAAAAAACATATCCTTGGCTGAGGATTAAAAAATGTATAATCATTGTACAGTGTGTGTGGATGGAGATTAGGTTCTGTCATTATTTAAAAATTAGGTGTAACTATGTAAGCAAGTGGAATAAAATGGAAAGATATGTCACTGAATTCTACATTGTGATCATGAATAATTTTTCATTAATTTATTTTATATATCTGGATACTTGACCACATTTATATAATGTTCTCATGGTTTGACCCCAAAATCTATTTCCATTGGAGTAATAAAGTAGACAGTTTGAAGTAGGTGCCCTATCAGTTACTTACTCTAATTTCATAGAAATAATTCTTATCCTGATGAAACAGGGCACTGGTCCGTCTCTTCTCAATAAGCTGACCTTCTCACTTTTTCATCATGTACAGGTGTATGGGACTGTTTTCCACATGAACCAGGGAAACCCATTCAAGCTAAAGGCCCTGGTGGACAAGTGGCCTGATTTTAGTACAGTGGTTGTCCGCCCTCAGGAGCAGGTAAGTTGCCAGATGTGGAATGCATACACTTCTATTTGCTATATGTGCCTACAATGCACATAGCAATGTAGACTCAGGGAATAGATAAATAAATCACAGTGATGGTGAACAAATTCTCATCCTCAAGTAGCTCACCTTTTGGAGGAAAAGGTAGCTAAGCAAGTAAACTACAATTTGATGAGAAGTGTATAACAACAGAAGATGCACAATGTACAGAAATAGCACAGACAGAAGCTGATTAAACTGTGGAGGTTGAAGATGGAGGTCATAGGAAGAGCTTATAGATACATCTTGGTTGAACCTTTACCTGAATTATATTTTGTAGATAATTATATTTTTTAGGCTGACAAGGAAAAAATGACATAGAAAGGGCAAGGACAATGAGTTGGGGTGATTCTAAAAAGTAAATTCATAATACTATAATTTCCATATACATTTTGGCAAAAACATTTAAAAAATTAGTGCAACTCAATATCAAAAACAAAAATTATAAGTTCACTTTAAAACATGCAGTGAAATGATAAATTTATAACAAATACAAGTAGTATACCTTTCAGACAAATAAAATTACTTTGAAAGCACTAAGTTAGACAATATATAAAGTGAATAAATTTGTGTCAATAGCAAAAACTGAACTGAAATAAAATTATAAATTAAATTAAATAATTAGAACTTTTATCGTAAATATGTTAGTGGTATCATTGCTTACCACGAGTGCATTTTGTACATATTCTAACTATTTTTAAAAAGGCTGTTCAATTCTGAACTAATCCTGGTAATATTTTCGTGTGCTTCCTTTTTTTTAATAATCTCATCTTTTTTTTTCTTCTTTTTTAAAAATAATTTTAGGGAATCTTTCTAAGTAAGCAGTACCTTTGTTCTAAAACTACAATGAGCATAAGCATAGTATTGTTTTAAGAATGCATTTCTAACCAGTTTTCATCTTCTTTGGCTTCATTAAATATAGATGGAGATTTAATCTAGAGTAATCTGCAACCAAATTTGAAACTATCATGTTCATAGTTTTTGTATTCTGCTCCTGTTTGAAATGTAGTAAAATTTATTATTGCAACAGAAACTTTTCCTTGTCAACTGCTTGTCATTCATCCTGAGGAAAAGGATGGAAATACAGAAGAATGCTTTCTAAATAGTTATCTTTGTTTAATTTGAAATTTTAATGCAATAAAAGCTAAAAATAGTATTGTTCTGCAATTTTATATCATAAATTGAATACTTGAATCTCTCATCTTGATCACATGATTTAAATGATTCAGAAATAATTGTAATTCATCAATAAAAATGCCAATAGTTTAGTACTTAAATATATCACAGTGTAATGGAATAAAATAAAAACTATTGCAATTATGGACTACATGGTTTTGCTTAATTTGCCTAATTTCACCAATGACAACAGGAGATGGTTGATAACTGGGATCATTACACCAATACATACCAAATCTACTCCAAGGACCCCAATATCTGTCAGGAATTTCTTGTTTCACCAGAAGTCATCAACTGGAAACAGCATTTGCAGATCCAAAGTAAGTAAACTGAGTAGGAAGTATACTCTGCCCTGATAATTTCCCCTATGACTCTTGTGTTTCTCCATATTTCAAACCCTCAGCCTGCTGTCAGTTTTGTTTTTTTTACTCAGCTGAGAATATAACCTATAATGGGGAAAAACATCCTCAAAGCTTGCAAAAAAAAAAAAAAAGGAGTGGGGGGGCGGGAAGCTTCATATAGGGAAACAACACAACGCCTTGATAGCCAAAAATTTATGCCATATTTTGCAGACATACCCAGCATCACTTAAAATTATTAGGAGCCAGAGTAGAGCTTCCCTCAGGTCCCCAGGGCTTTCCATGCCAGGAATAGGAATGCAAGTCCTGTCATAAAGCACCTCTTAGGTCATTAAGGAAACCGTTGTGGTTGTGAGCGTGCCATCCAGAATCACACTCCCTAGGATGGCATTTGCCTGTTACTTGCTATGTCATCTTAGCCTCAGTGAGTCATATATGAAATTGAATTATCCTCAGTGAGTTATATATGAAAACGAGGATAACAATGGTAGCTAAAACACACGGGTATTGAAAAGATTAGATAACATGTTGAATAGGAAAATTGCGTAGCACAACACCTGGCTGTGTCAATTAACTAGGACTGCATAACAAACCTCATAATCCTGTGAATCAATATTTGGACTGGGTTTTGCAAGGCAGTTCTTCTGCTGGATTTTCTCTTGCAGCTGTAGGGTGTTAATGGATGGACTATGTGCTGGTTGCTCTAATATAGCCTCACTCACTTGCCTGAATGACGGTTCTTGCTGTTGGTGCTGGCCATCATAGTGACAGCATGACAGGCTCACAAGTCCTTATATGACTAGCCTAATCCTATCCATATAGTGTTAGTCTCAAAGAAATCAGGAGCACAAAGAAAGCCCATGGTGCAAGCCCCCTTTAGCCTCTCCATGCATCAAAATTACTCTTTCCCAGTGGAAAAAGCAAGCCATGTTGGCAAGGTCAGATACAGTGCAGGAGGGGACTATTCCAGGGAAAAGATACAAAGAGATGTGGGCACATTGTGGGCTATTCCTGCAACAAGCTGCCATACTATGAACGTAGTAAGCACACAAGAGATGTTGGCTACTATTGTTTTTATAATGAATCTCTATGATTATGAAAAAAATATGTTCATGTACCCCAGAAAACTTGGTTTTTTTCTTTGCATTGCCATGAATGGTATGGCCATGGTTTTGATAGAATCTCTGAGCATCTTCATTGTGCAAATCCTGGCTATGTAATCACATGTTGGCAATACTAAGCCAAAACCAAGGTTTTTAGACTGTAAATGTAGACATGTACCTCTCTACTGGACAGCTTATCCATAAAATGAACTGAAATAATTTCAGTCTCCTTAAAACCCCATCTAGGTTCCCAGTCTAACCTCAATGAGGTGATACAAAATCTCGCAGCCAGGAAACCCTTCAAAGTGAAGCACACAGAGCGCTTTCTCTATATGGAACCTGACACTGTAAAGAAACTGATTCCTTCCTTGTTCGATGTAAAGAACTTACCACCTGGTGGTGGCAAACCCAAAGCATTGTAAGTTTGATAAAAAGTCACTGCACTACTTACACCTTCCATTCCTGAAGTATCCTCCCAAAGTCTCTTTCTGCTTTACTCCTGCACCCTTCCCCTATGGTCAATATTCTTCAAAATAGCCCAAATCATCGGTTTTCAGAAATGTATTATGGAGAATAGGGATAACAAATAATATAATACGTACTCATGGACATTATTTTCTCTTGGAACCTCCATAGCAATCAAGAAATGCTTAAACTCTCATCCCTGGATGTTACCCATGCTGCCCTGGTGAATAAATACTGGCATTTTGGTGGCAATGAGAGGAGCCAGAGATTCATCGAGCGCTGTATACAGAACTTCCCCACGTTCTGTCTGCTGGGGCCTGAGGAGAAACCTGTGTGCTGGGACCTGATGGACCAGACAGGAGAGATACGGATGGCAGGCACCCTGCCTGAGTACCGGAAGCAGGGCCTCATCTCCTATATCGTCTATATTCAGACCCAGGCTCTAAACAAACTTGGCTTCCCCATATATTCTCATGTTGACAAGAATAACAAAATTATGCAGAAAATGAGTGACAATTTGCATCATATCCGCATGCCCTGTACTTGGAACCAGTGGAACTGTGTGCCTCTGTGACTCCATCCTACAAACAAGTATCAGATGGGCTCCAACGTGTGGCTGGGGCAATGGATGGGTGGGCAGAGAGAAAGACTGATCAGTAATAATTGTAATGATCAGTAAAGTAGTGGGCTCTGGGGAGGCAGTGTGAATGTTCAATACCATGTTCCCTGCACTCAAGTCACTGCGGACTTCCCTTAGATGTCTCAGGGTGACGCAGCCCCAGGCACTCACTACACATGGTTTGGTTCCCCCATGCTTCCAGGCATCTCCATGACACTCCAATCAGCTGCATGCTGCCCAGATGGCTTTTCCTGGAACTCATAGTGTGTGAATGTGTAGAGCCTTGCCAGATTTTCCAGGGAGAGGTATAATTTCTTAGCATTATGACTTATTCTTTGCTCTTTCTCTTAATGATCAGCAAGTGGACTCTGCTCAGTAGGTCTGCAGAGATTATTCTTTCTTCTGATTGCTGCTTTCTCAATACAACACAATGTCCATGATATGGCAGGGAGAGTTTTGGAGAAAGAGACTAACTTATATTAGCCTGTCCCCTCCTCACTCCCACATCAGGGAAAATGATTCAATGTTGCTTCTTAAAGCAGAACTTTCTGAATCCACCCAAATCCCAAACAATAAAGAGATTTTGTGTTTGATTGTGGAAGTTGAAGTGAAGTAGTCTGTGATGGGAAGAGATTGGGGTGGGTTTATGGAGAATGGGAAGACCCAAACCCAGGGTGATGGCTATTTATTGAGAAGAGAGAATTTTAGGGGCAGGGCAGTACATCATGCATACCTGCTGTTTCACTTGACCTTGGGACATTGTTTCAGGATGCCTAAATTCTATGCAGTTCAGACAATAGTCTCATAGTGTGGTGGTGTGGAGCAATTTTTGTCCCAGTTGGATCAGGGTAGGTGGGAGAGTTTCCTGCCCCATTTCAACAGGAACAGCACCAAACCTGGCATAGGGAAAGAGAACACTGGACTGAAGGTAGCCACCTGCATACTTCTGGTCCATCTACAATAAGGATTAGGCTGTGGAATTGAGAATGAAGGCCCCACAAACTGAGAAACCAATGTGTGAGGTTTAATTTCTTGTCCACTCAAATGAGTGAAGGCTTAGTTTAGAGAAGGGATTCTCAACATTGGTACAATGGGCATTATAGTGTGGACAATTCTTTGTTATAGGGCCATCCTGTGCATTTATAGCATATGGAACAGGATGTCTGTCCACTACTCATTGGCTGTCAGTAACACTTTCCATTCCAGTTATGACCACTAAAAATGTCTCCAGCTCTTGATAACTCCCCTGGTGGCAAAACTGACTTCAATTGAGAGCCACTGGTGTAGCAGTTGAGCTTCTCCCACTTGAGGATGCATCTGAAGCATGTAGGGGGATTGTTAATACAGAGAGTGGCCTCACCTTTAGAATTCCTGATTCAGTAGATTTTGAGTAGAGTCCCAGATTTACATTTCTAACAAGTTACCTGATGCTGCTGGTCCAGAGCCATAGAACTATGGATGAAAATTAGTATTGCACGCAGATATGTTTTACCTTAGTGTTTATAATGTAAAATTTATTGAAATATATTTTTATTGATTTCAGAAAGGAAGGGAGAAGGAGGGAGAAGCAGAAACATTAGTAATTAGAAAGAATCGTTGATCGGCTGCTTCCTGCATGCCCCCTACTGAGGATTGAGCCTGCAACCTGAGTATGTGCCCTTGACTGGGATTGCACCATGACCCTTTAGTCCCAAGATGAACACTCTATTCATTGAGTCAAACTGGCTAGGGCAATGTAAAATTTTTTTATTTATTTTTTATTAATATGTGATATTTCAGAAAATGTTACTTTCAGTTTATATTCACTGCATGTATATATTACTAGAGGTCCACTTCATGAAAATTTGTGTACTCAGGGGTCCCTTAACCCATCCTACACACTCTTTCAGTCTGGGACCCCTTGGGGATGTCTGACTGATGGTTTAGGCATACTCTGAAGGGATCAGGCCTAAGCTGTCAGTCAGACATCCCTCTGGCAGCCTGGGAGCCCTCAGGGGATGTCCAATTGCAGCCCAGTCCAGCTCCTTTGAGGGCGCCTCCTCGGAAGACATGGCACTGGGACCAGGCCCATGTCTCTGCCTCTCTCAGCATCTTTGCAGAAGCGAGTGGTGCCTGGACCTCATAGACGACCTGGTAGCACCAGCTTGCTTGCCCTGGTGCCCACCCACCGGTTGTTTGGCAGGTTGTTCCAGAAGGTTATTCTGCTCTCTGGCCTAATTGTAATATTAGCTCTTTATTATGTAGGATAGTAGTTAGTTAGTTATATAATTTACAACATGGTTTTCCCAATAAGTTTAGTTCCTACCTCACTCCATACATAGTTATTACAATACTAGAGGCCCAGTGCACAAATTTGTGCATGTCCCTCGGTCTGGCTGGTGATTGAGGTCTATTGGTTGGCACGTGGGCCAGGGGATGGGACCTCAGAAGATTGGCCTGCAGACCCCCAACCAGGGCCTATGGGGGTGCTGGTTAGTAGCGGGGAGGGACCGTGGGATGTTAGTCAGCTGGCTGAAGGGGCCATGAGAGGTTGGCTGTGGGGGCACACAGACAATCAGGGGTCAGCCCCTGAGTTGAGTATCTGCTCCTTGCTGGTCAGTGTGTGTCATAGTGACTGGTCGACCAGTCATTCCAGTCATTCAGTTGCAATGGTCACTTAAGCTTTTTTATATATAGAGTATACTAGAGGGCAGCTGAATGACATTTGTGCACTGGGTGGTGGGAGGGGACCTCAGCCCAGCCTGTGCCCTCTTGCAGTTTACAATTCCTTGGGGGGAGGGGGAGGTGCCCAATTTGTTCCTAGTGTTGCTGCAGAGGCTAGAGAAGCTCCCACCACTGCCACTGTGCTTGCCAGTCATGAGCCTGGCTTCTGGCTGAGTGTCACTACCCCATTGATCTTCTGCCACCTGGTGGTCAGTGCATGTAATAGAGACTGGTTGTTCCACCATTTGGTCCATTTGCATATTAGAGTTTTATTACATAGGACTAGAAGCCTGGTGCACAAAATTCGTGCACTGGAGAAGGGTCCACCAGCCTGGCCTACACCCTCTTGCAGTCTGAACCCCTCAAGGGGTGTCCCAGAGGAAACGGGCCTAAACCAACAGTTAGGAATTCCTCTCACAGCCCAGGGCCCCTTCTTACAGCCCACCTGCTCTTTGCTTTTTACCATTCGGTTCATTGCTCCTTAGTGCTGCCACAGAGGCAGGAGAGGATCCTGCCACTGCCACTGTGCTCACCAGATGTAAGCCCCATCTTTCTCTGTAGTTTTTTTTGTGGGCCAACTGCTTTCTTCCTTCTCATTTAGGGCCAGCAGCATGAGAGAGCAGAGTGCAATGTTGTGGAATGCACTGGACAACCCAGAGCTGAGGGGAGTGGTCAGGCCCATGGGTGAGAGGTGGACACAGAGGACACTATCTCACCCAATTGTGGGGCGGGCTGGCCAGCCTTCATCTGCCTGACCCCACCCAAGAAGGGACCAAGCAGAGTGTCTGCCTCTCCATTCTCCATCCTTCCATCTGTGACACCTGTCACACTTGCCAGGCCTCCCCCAAAGTGAGTTCAGCTTAATCCCTGAATGTAAGAGGGCAAAAGGAAGGGGCTCCACTTCAGTTATCCCTGATTCTAAGCAACAGGACCTGGTCTCAGGATAGTGGCCACACCTGTAGAACATACATCTGTTTCAAGAAAAGTTGGGAATGCAGAATTTCATATAAGCCCCTATTCCAAAAAGAGGCAATTCATTCACATTGTGGCAAAGACACCTTTAAGAGTAACGTAAGTGTCTAAAGTCAGGGTCAAACCGGGCCATGTACTCATCCAATCTCTCTGAGGCATATGGACAGAACCAAGTTTCAGCTCTTAGCCAGATATTTCCAGGGTATTTTTTAAGCCTAAAGGACAGTAGACCATCTCTATTCTTGTTCTTTGGGATTTTTTCATTGTTGGATAAAAGGATACATACATTAGGGCAATCCTCTCAAGATACAATATTAGTTGCACCCATGTGACCACAATAGTGCCACTCAGAGGGAGGAAGCCCACAGATGGGGAGTAGGGAATTCTGAAAACCTAAGCCTTTCCTTCACACATTTGACACCCCTCCTCAGGCGGCCTTTTGGCCAGATGTCTGCTGAACTTTTACCACTTGATGTCCTGTCAGGCTGCCCTGAGCCCTGCTAGGCAATGTATAGGATCCAGTGTGCCCAGGGGGAGTTGCCCCTTCTCCCAGCCACTCCTGGTACTGCTCCTGCACATGGGTGCTAGTCTCCGGGGGCCACAATGGATGGCAGCATAGGTGCCTTCCATCTGTTGCAGCAAGCCCTATTTGCACTCCCATCCTCCACCTGGGCCTGGACCCTGCTGCTTAGGCATCCCTGGCACAGGCCAGGACCTCCACAAAGTGGCAGGGGAACTTGCCCCTCTACAGCTTCAGTACCACTTCTGGATGTTCCAAAAGCCATAGCAGCCTCAAAACATAGCAGAACCTCTCTGTCCCTTTCAAAGGTGACCTCCTGGAAGTCTTTGTGACTCAGGGTGTGGTAGGGGAGCTCCCTCACATCCTCGTTGAACAGCTCCTTGGCCATGTGCCTGAAGATATCAGCCAGGTCCTCGTTGGAGCTGGCACCTTAGAGGAGTCTCAACTCCTCCACCTTTATGTATGCAAACAGAGTGTCCATGCCAATGTCATTCGAGGTGAGCTCACTTTGCCCCAATATCGGAACAATTTCACCGGAGGTTAACACTCAGTCAGAACCGTGGGAACTAGGCAATGCAGTGGCAACATCTTCTTGAAAGGCCTCCAGTTTAGGGTCATAACACAGGGCCACAATGACTTGGAAAATCTTTTCTGAGAACAGTTTCTGCTGTCTGGTGAAGTAATCTTTCATCAGAGAGGCCATGTTCTGTTGGGGAGACTTGGCCGTACAGAGACGGGGAGGGGTAAGGGGGGTAATGAGGTGATGGGTTATATCGGACCCAGCCAAGGTAGCCAAAGGTCTGCATAGGTAGCCAGAGCACTTCCTCATGGTGCTGGCAGTACCAGTGCACAAATTCCTTCTGACTCTCCTGGATGCTGAAGTGTCAAAGACAGTGCACCCGATATCATATCTCCTGATATCTTCATGTCAAAGACAGTGCACCTGAGGTCTTTGAGGAAGCCACAGAGCCTTCTGGACGCATCAGTGACACTGAGGCTGAATTTACCAGCAAAAGAAATCAAAGACTGAGGTCATACCGACACTGTCATATATCACACTTCTTATTAAGGTACAGAACTTGGAAGAAGTTCTTGGTGAGAAACTTGGACTCCATCCTCTGTGGTCATACAACTGTCACACACCAGGCAGTCACTCAGAAACCTTTTGGCATTGGCCAACTATGGAATTCTCTCTTTTCCTGAGCCAGACTCCAGACATTGACTACAATATTCTCTTGGTCATCAGTTTTTGTTTTTTACTACATTCCTGTGCAGTGCTCACACTTCATCTGGAGTGGGTGGGGGCCGGCCTAAGTGACCTGAAGGAAGCACAAGGAGAGTAGGCACTGCTGGTTGCCCATGGCACTGCTGGCAGTATCCTATCTTCTTTCTACAGTGTTTAGGGAGGAGGCAGAGGCCAATTTCCAAGGCCAATTTCCAGGAATCTGACAGTACTCTGGAAATTGTGCCAGCGGTGCTGATCCGTTGGTGCCTGGCCTGTCTTCTGGAGATTGAACCTGCAGGACTGCTAAGTGTGCCAGTGCCCATTTCCACCGATCTCTGCCACTGATTTTTTGGAGTCTGAGAGCCTAGATTAGGTACCAAAAGGTCTGTCTTCCAGCCACTCACCAGTTGACACTGCCACCGATTGATCATAGCCTGAGGAACCCTGATTCCTTCTTTAGCCACCCTCTGATCAATCGGAGCCTGAGGTACAGGGGGATGGTCTGATTGTTTGATTGTCCGGGTCATCATGACCACAGGATTTTTATATATAAATATATAGATTCCCTTTACTATACATCCTTATGACAATGTTGTAACTGCCAATTTGTACTTCTTAATTCTTTTACCTTTTCCACCTAACCTCCTGACTCCCTCCCATCTGGCAAACATCGGTTTGTTCTCTGTATCTATGAATCTGTTTTATTTTGTTTGCTCATTTACTTTTGTTCTTTAGATTACACATAAAGTTAAAATTGTGTGGTATTTGCCTTTCTCTATCTGACTTACTTCACTTAGTTCAATATCTCTAGGCCTATCATAACAAATTCTCAAAACATACATAAACATAGTCATTAAACAGTGAAATAGCCAAACAACAAACTACCTTTAACAACTTTGCCATGAAACCTAAAAACTAGAAAGCACCTGAGATTCTTTTTTAATAAATGGAGGACAAATCTTCAGCTATTGAGTGTTGTGCAGTGGAAAAACACAGACCTTTGTGTGATAAGTTCTGCCCAAAATGTATATTCAACTGGGTTGTTTGAAATCTGACCTAAAGGATCTTTTTTATTTATAGTGACATCTTTACTGTCCTCTTGACCCCACATTTAAGGGCACATTTTCTGTCTATGCTCCTCAGCACCAGCCCAGCTCTACAAATACTTGTCATGAGCCCCTTCATACCACCCCAAGGTAAGTTGCACACACAATCTTGCATTCTTCAAGGTGCTTTATGAGCTAAGTTGGAGACCTCCACACATGAAAGCTGCCATTTGTGTTTAGTCAAGAGCAGAAAGGATTACAGTGGACAAGATAAGCCCCACCCGTCCAAGAAGTACCTGTGGTCAGTGAGGAGGAAGAGGCTGATGACTCTGAAATAGGGAGAAGGACCTCAGGGTCAGGTAAAGGAGAGCACACTCCACTCATGACACTAGCACTAAAGGCGAGATCTCATGACATTTATAAAATCAATAGGATATACTGTGGAACACAGCAGGCAAAGTGAAGGTGGAGTTTAATGTGTTATTGTTGAAATTTTAAGGATATGTAAATTTATAAAATAAAAGTCCGTATTTTAAAAATGCCTTATGTTGTGGATAGGTTAATTGATTTTCTCATTTTTAATGATCGAATAAATTAGTTAATAATAGCACATTGTCTGTGTGTAATTGTGGACTCAAAATGCCACTCGAGGAGGCACTGACAAAAAAGAAAGAAAAGAAAAAAAGAAGCAGCGGGAAGCCTTGATCCCCAGGGGCATGTCCAACCTGAAAACAACCATCAGTCCCTCAACCCATCAATGGGGGTCAGTTGGAGGTGATCAGGCAGCAGAAGGAGCAGTTTGGAGGGAGAAGGCCAGCAGGGGGCAGTTGGGGGCCAGCAGGCCAGTGCGGAGGGAAGGTGAGTGTGAGCTGATCAGTATGGGGGGTAGAGGGGATGAGCACACTGGCACTGGGGGTGGGCAGCTGGGGTAATCAGGCTGGCATGGGGGCATTTGTGGGTGAGCAGGCCAGCAGGCAAAGTGGTTAGGGGCAATCAAGCAGGCAGGCAGGCAGATGAATGGTTAGAAACCAGCAGTCCCAGCTTGGAAAAAGAATGTCTGACTGCTGGTATAGTCATGATCCCTGTATACCAGCAGTAGGACATCATTTGAGGGGTCCCAGATTGGAGAGGGCGCAGACTGGGCTGAGAGACACCCACCCCCATGAATGAATTTCATGCACCAGACCTCTATTTATAAAATATGACAAAAGAGCATTTAATTAGAAGAACAATTTTTAAAAAATTGGACATAGAATTAACTCAGTAAGTTTAATACACAGAGGTTCTCATTTTCTTTTAAAATGAGGTAGAATTTACAAACACTTAAATTTTAAGTTGCAATTTTATGGAGTTGAATCAAGTTTACACTTATGGAACCTATATCATTTTCAAAGAAAAAGAACAATATTATGACTTCTGATAGCACTTCATACATGCTAGCTTATTTAACTTAAGAACAAAAACACCAATAAGAGTGGGCACTGTTATGCACCCTATCTGTAGATGAGAAAACTGAAGCACAAAGATTAGATAACAGGACAAACACTAGTGAATGGATCCAACCCTGGGACACAAACTTGTAGACTCCCAAACTTGTAGAACCAGCTTGCTGAATAAGCCACCAAGAGGGAGGGACTGAATGCCTCTGGATCCCACACTGGTTACCAGAAGTTTTCCACTCCTCCCAGCATTTAAAAGGGCAAGTCCTGCAGTAAGAGCTTCAGCTTAATGATTTCTGTAGAAAGTTTACCAAAAAACGCTTTGCAGGTCTGAGCTGTGCATGCAAGGATAAAGGGGATTTTATATTCTGGGAAGGTCTGCTGCTCTCATTTGTTCTGGGGACCAGTCTGCGTGGAGTTCACCTTCCAGGTGAGAACTCATCTTACTGGAAAGAACCACTGCTTTGTGACATCCCCCCTCTTCTTCCTTTTCTCCTACAACAAACGACCTTGGTGGTTTTAGAGGGGGAGTGTTGAGCTTATTTAGTGATACTTGGACTATGGAAAAGGGAATCTATTCCTGTTGAGAGACAAGATTTCTGCACCTACAATGTACACAGCAGATGTAGGGTGGAAAAATTCTCAGGAGGACTAAGTCAGTACTCCATTCTGAACAAATAAATGTTATGAAGGGATTTTGGGAGCTTGTGGGTTAAAGGAGATGTAATAACATTAGCCAGAAAGGATTCTTGGTCCAAGTAACATTAATTTAGCACCTAGTGTAAAGAGATACTATGCAAACATTATTTTGTTTTTCTTTGGGAAAATAGTCTAAAGCAGGCAGCTTGTTCCTTGGATAAATGTTAACCAGGAAAGTAAAGTACTCTATTAAAATCAGAGAGAAAATATTCAGACCAAATGTACAGTTTATTTAAATCGCGCGTGTGTGTGTGTGTGTGTGTGTGTGTTTGTATGAGGGGAGTAATTTAAAGGTTTTATCTATAATGCTCTGACCATAAAATAGATTTTTAAAAATTTTAAATTTTGTTTAGTATCCTATATAATAAAGAAGTAATATGCAAATTGACAATCACTCCAATACACACAATGGTGGCCCACATGTGGACACAAGTTGGATTCCACAAGATGGCCAGTAGGGGTGGGCAGTTGGAATGAATCAGTCCTGAAAGAGAGGGCAGTTAGGAAGGGAAGGAAAGGAAGGGAAGGGAAGGGAAGGAAGAGAAGGGAAAGGAAGAGAAGAGAGAGAGAGAGAGAGAGAGAGAGAGAGAGAGAGAGAGAGAGAGAGAGAGAGAGAGAGAGGAAGAAGAAAGAAAGAAAGAAAGAAGAAGGAGAAGGAAGGAAGGAAGAAGAAGAAGAAGAAGAAGAAGAAAGAAAGAAAAACAAAGAAAGAAAGAAAGAAAAGGAGAAGAAAAAGGAAGGAAGCCAAAGGACTAGATAGCCAAAGTGCTGAGCACTAAAAGGCTGAGTAGATCAAACAATCTTTTATCTGTTTTCTTCAGGGAATGATGATAATAATGACACACAAATACTATTCTGTGCCAGGCACTTACTAAGAAATTTGCATGGGATTTTTTACTCACTTGGTCCCAGTGCCTAGATTACCTCATTTAATCATCACAAACTATCTAACGTAAGTGTTGATGTTATTCTCAGGACACGATTCACACTGAAAGCACTCACACTGATAGCTAGGTTAAAGTCACACCCCATTTCTTAAAACAACAACAATAATCCAATTGACTGAGCTGAAATTATATTAATAATAGTAATAAAAATAATGATTTTGAGTTATTATATGCTAGAAAATCTACTATGTACTTAATATGTATTATCACATTTAACTATCCCTATGATTTTCTTTTTATTTCTATACCAATAAGGTGTTCAGTTAGGTTTTTGTATGAAATTTCGGACACCAGTTTGTGAGAATAGAGCCAATTGTTGAGAGCAACCACAAAGGGGAGGCAGCCGGAGCTGAGCAACACCTTTGCTTTTTGGCAGAAGTTGCAAACCCATGGCTTTCTGATCAATCTCCCTCCTCTCTGTCCTCTCATGTTTCTGTTTCTCTGTGTTGAGGAGCTCACCCTCTTAGTGTCTGGGCTTGCACTGCTCCTTCTTCCTGAAGGAAGCACCAGTGAGATGTTTGGGATTTTCACCTCTCCTATGTATCTTCTCTCACCAGTGGGCTTTATTCTCACTAACTTATGTATTATAGTAAATTTCTTACAAAAAAATAAAACTAATTAAACACTGATGTTGATCTTAGGAAATGTGGCAATGATGAATTTCTGGTGTGTTCTATGCAGAAGAACTTAATTAAGGCACAGAGTTGCAGACATTAAGGCTCCCTCCCGCTCAGCTGCTTCAGGAAAACCACTCTTGCCTCCGTGGTGCCCAGGGAGGATGATCAGAATGGTCCCAGGAGTGATGCTGGCCCACAGTTTATCTTCTCACATGCTGACTGAAGGGTTTCTTTTGGTGGCTCAACTGCTTTGATGGCACATCTTCAGTGGGATAGTGTCTAGGTAATTTTCAAAGTGTAAGCACTTGGGTAGCACATTTCTTGTCACTACCAAACTGGTTTTGTGAGAGTAGTAAGAACTTTCTACTTTTTTGTTTCAATCCAGGATTTAGCTAATGAATACTTCCATTTTTGCATGGCCTTTACGAATACATAGCCGACCAGGAATATCTGCCAATTCCTCTGACCAGGAAAGGGTTTCACCTCTGTGGGGCTTCCTCTTCTTACACATCGACCTTGGGGTTACTCTTCCTGTCCTTGTCACCAGCATCAGCCTTCTTGGCTCCAGGTTTCACCTCCTTAGTATCCAGCTTCTCAGCTTCTTCACCCTCCATCTTGCAAGATGGGAAAGAGACAATAATTTTCTAGGTAGAATCTGTTTTAATTAGGAGTAATGAGTAAACCATGGAACCAAGAGGGTAAGGAACTTTTCAAAGGCTACAGAAGTTATTAGTGGTGGCACTGGGGGAATCACTGACTGTAACCTAATCCCCAAAGATGCACTAGCATATTTAAATAACATATTTGTTAATATAAATGTTTATTAAATAAATTTTCAGGATGATGTAAGAAAGTGAAGAGAAGATTTTCAAAAAGAGAGCCAGGTGTTTTCTGCCAATTTTCTCCTTTCTTGGTGTTACGGATGACTTCAGTGTGGGTACCACCAAAAGAAGGCACTGAAGATGGTCCTGAACATTAGCATTGGACCTGCTACTCTTGTCTCTTGGTGTTGGTCCCATCTGAACTTTTACATTGTTCTCCTTCATAGTAACGGTAGAAATCTAGTGTGACTCTACTTTCTCTCCACCCAAGACAGTTATTTTATAAGTGGGCAGACTTATCTTACCTGTTACCTTCTAAGATTCAGGTAAAGGTGTGAGGATCTAGTTCCTATGGGTTCAATGTTTTCTCATCCTGACTGTTTGTTGATTCTCCCTCTAGGCTAAAATACCTGCCAAGATGCTCCACTTACGGGTTCCACAGATGCTGCAGATGCTAGAAAGGTCCTTGAGGAAGAGCCTTCCTGAGTCTTTAAAGGTGAGAGTGAGACAATCTCAGAGAAAGCAAGGGTTGTGTATTCTTTTGATAGAAATGTGGAAGAGGACGATGTTTTAATGAGCAGCTATTTTGTGGTGGGAATTCACTCATGCTCCACATCATTTACACTCATGTTCACATCACCTCTTTGCAAGGGAGGTATATTATAGAACTTCTTTGTACTCTTTGCTACTTCATGTGAATAAATTAAAGGTTTACAAAATAGCTATAGTCAATTTGGCTTAGTGGATAAAGTATTGGCCTAAGGACTGAATGGTCCCTGGTTCAATTCTGGTCAAGGGCACCTGCCTGGGTTGCGGGCTTGATCCCCAGTGGGGAGCATGCAGGAGGCAGCCAATCAATAATTCTCTCTCATCATTGATGTTCCTATCCCTCTCTCCCTCTCCCTTTCTCTCTAAAATTAATAAAAATATATTTTAAAATAAAAGTTTAAGAAATAAGGTTTGTTCATCCATGTCATAGAATGCTCTGATGTCATTAAAATTGTTATTGAAAAAATATGACTAGAATGTATTATTCAATTGAGAAAAACATTTTAAAATCATATTATCTGAAATTGTTATTTTGTAAAAGTTCATGTGTATATACATGAATAGTAGGAAATCTATTAAAATATTTTTCTATTTTTTTAAAATTGAGGTATAATTGACATACATTACACTAAATGTTTGTTGAACTCTAAATATAAAGAAGTTTATATTTATTTTATAAATTTCACAAGATAGGATTGGAGAAAAATAGTTTTACATTTGTATGTGAAAAAGAGTTAATAAAACTATGGTAATAATCATAACCTGCATGGTTTTTCCAGATGAACAACCATAAACCTACTTTTATCAACCCCTGTATATTAACACTCCCACTTTCTTGTAATGCTGCAGGTTTATGGGACCATCTTCCACATGAACCAGGGAAACCCTTTCAAGCTGAAGGCTCTGGTGGACAAGTGGCCTGATTTTAAGACAGTAGTTGTTCGCCCTCAGGAGCAGGTAAAGTGTCAGATATGGCATGACTGTGCATCTATGTGTGTATTTGCTAGGTGTTTATCTGAATTGGCAATGTTGGAGAACTGGGTATATAGAAATGAATTCCAGGAATAGTAAACAGTCCCTGTCCTCAAACATTCCACAGCCTGGAAGAAAATATAGATGAATCCACAGATAAATTATAGCATGGTCTGAAATGGGCAGCAACAGGAGAATTGAATGAGATAATGATTGTCTAAACATTGTGCTGAACACCAAAACCATCTATACTAATAAAAGGGTAATATGCTAATTATACTGGGATACCTTTTGGGAGACCTTTTAGACATCCTTCAGGACAAACCCATGGTGGCGGGGCCAAGGCAGAAGCGGTTAGGGGTGATCAGGCTGGCAAAAGGTGGGCAGTTGAGATCAAGCAGGGGAGGCTGTTGGTGGCCACTGGGCTGGTAGAAGGGGCAGTTTGGGGTAATCAGGCTGGCAGGGTGGCCAATTAGGGGCAAACAGGACAGCAGGGGAGGGCAGTTAGGGGTGATCAGGCCAACAGAGGAGGGCAATGAAGGGTGAGCAGTCAGCAGGGGGTGGGCAGTTAAGGGTAACCTGGGGCATTTGGAGGTGATCAGGACGGCAGGCAGAATGTTTAGGGGTAATCAGGAGGCAGGCAAGTGAGTGGTTAGGAGCCAATAGTTCAGATTCTGAGAGGGATGTCCAACTGCCGGTTTAGGCTGGATCCCATAAGGGATCTTTATGGCATCGGGCCTAAACTGGCACTCTAACAATTCCTAAGGGGCTCCATTTGAAGAGGGTGCAGGCCAGGCTGAGGGACCCCTCCCATACAGGAATTTT